TGATTCTTTAATAAATTATTATTTTACAATCATTATTATTATTATTATTGATCATTTGCAGTGCTTGTTGTCAGAAGTACCTGAGAATAATTAAGGTGATGATGTTGCCCACAGTTCCGATCAGGACGATAAACGGCGGGTATGCACACAGCAGAGTTCTAGACACCTTGTTCCAATAGTTGACTTCACTGGAGACTGGATTAGACTGTGGGCCGTACTGACTCCAACTTAAATTGACATTAAACGTGTCCATTTTTTGTGTGTGGAATGAAACGCCTCCATAAATAGGAACGATCTCTTCGTGTTGTCTGAAATCCATCTTTTTAAAAGAAAGATGTGGTTAATTGCCAGTGCGCAGACGTGCAAAAAGTGCTTGGTTTTTTGGTTGCTTTTTTTTTTTTTACATTTTCTACGTCAGCACGTTCTTACACAGGTGCTAAGTGCGTAAAATGTCCCATATCTCTTTGTTGATTGAAGAGTTCTTTTTGTTTCTTTTTGTTTTGGGGTCATTGCTTTTATAGCGGTAAAAAAAAGGTGTCATGAAGGAAAATGAATCTGCCAGATGTTTTCAATGAGAACCTAAGCAAGTTATTATCATGATACTGTAACGTTTTATTTTAAAAGATTATAGTAGTCATAGTACATGTATAATTCTGCCCTTTGCTTATGTCCTCAATGGGTTTTTTTCATTTCATCCTCCTCCCATATATTCTTCTTGTTGATCATTCTGTGCTGAACACACAGAGAACGAAGTCTGTTGCAAGTAGCGTACAATTATTTATTCCCTCTTACAATTCAGTTTTTTTTAAAAACCCAGCTTGCTGAGTATTATATCATCAACCTCCCATGTTACTGGAACAGAAGAGTAATAGCAATAGCCTTGTTAAAAACTCAGTCTTCCATTTAATGACAATTTTCATCAGTGGGAATTAATAAATTCACCTGTATGTGAGAAGTGTAATTCTCATAAAAATTGAAGATGAATTTCACTTATTTTTCATTGTCCAAATTTTGCCCATCAAAGAACATTGTTAATTTCCTCTCAGTCTGACTCGGCCCAGTGATAGAAATAAATATGCAATGGTTGACCCATGAAATGAAATATGTGCATAATCCGTACTTTTTCATGGTGGCAAATTTATTTTACAAATGAGTGTTTTATATGATGTGATGGCCCTTGCACCCATACTTGAAGATGAGGAGATTGAGCATGACTATGAGCCAATCTTACGACTTAAAGAACTGGGTGTCTTCAGAGGAAGTGGCAGAACCAGCATGGTGCAGGGGATAGAAAGACGGGTTATTAACCAAATGAACACCGGAACAATGGACTCTGTGGGGGATATTGGAGCGAGGAGTGGAGCACGTATGGCAATGCCCGGAGTGCTATGATGTTGTTCCCAGGATCAAGTAATCAAGTAATCAAGCATATGATGTGATGTCGGCCAATGGCCTTAAACACTGAATATATACGTATTTGCTCACCTCTTCTTCTCGATTACATCACTTAGCACGGACCGATATTCCACTTCAAGAGCACAGTTTCATCGTTTGCAAGAAACAAAGAGTGTCCTTGATTCAACACGTTACATTGTCATCGGATACTCTAGTATTCACAATAGCTCGTTTGTTTGAGTTTTAAAAAAGCACATCGAAACAATAATGGTCTTCAGTGCTGGGAAAAAAGTTGGACAGACAGACAGAAACAACGGAGGGAAAAATAAAGAAGTAGAACCAACCAGTGGCGCCCCCCAACGACCTACCAATTGCTCCATATGAAGAGGAAAAACAAAACAACTACAACAAAAAAAAACGGATGTAGAATAATGTAGATTATTCTTGACTTTATTTCATTTGGCACGGCAGAGATCATGTATGTTCAATAGAAGTACCACTTGGTCAGATACCATCGTGATGAATTTTGTACAAAGAGGCGTGTGTTAAACTGAAAGAGAGACAAAAACAAAAGACCTTTCGGGTATTTTGTTTTACATAGTAACGTTTTTAAGACACTTTTTGCAAATTGCAGAAACAGTGCCTCCCGAATGACTAGAAAGAAATTACGTAGAAGTAAAGACTAATCAGACAAAAAAGACAATCATATGAAAGGACAAGTATGATTTTAAAAGACTAATTGTAATGGCTAAAATCTTTTGGAACTACAGAGACACTCTGACTACTACAGTACAAAGGAAGGCATGAATAATAATTTCAAGTCAACACTAACCAGTCAGTCAATGTATGTGAAAAGGCTTTCAAGCGACTTTACAAAGACATACAATAGATGCATGTGAAATGGCAATGAATGCAACAAAATGTTTGAAGAGTTTAAGACGAATGGCAATATTCGGTTATTAAAATGTGCATGATATCTGCAGTAAATTCAAAACACTTTTTTAAGCCAACGAAAAGTTCTTTCTCTATTTTCACCCAAAGATATCTTTGCTTTACCCAGTCTTCTGATCCCTGGAAAAAATATTATAATATTTAACGTGCATCACACCACAACATAACACACTATTCTACCGAAAACG